AAAAATCCGACAGAGAACCCAAAAATGTAATAATATACAGGGTATTCCATTTAAAAGAAGCGAGTAAGTACCTACTTCCGGTATAACCGGAAGTGGTACCGCCTTGGAAATATTTTAGATGAGTTAGCTCCAACATCATTACCTTGTATTGAAAGTTTCACAACTCTGGTAGTTTCTGTTGGCGAATACTTCTAGTGTAAACTCCCAATAACGGACCCTGTATATTAAGTTTTTTATTTCAGTGATGTGTATTTATCTTCGCAAGACCGGCAGATATTGGATTGGCATTTTGCCAACTTGGAATTCGCGAATGCGACACCTTTATCGAACTTATCATTAAAGCACTGGGATCAGGACGATGACTTCGAGTTTACCGGAAATCATCTAACAGGTGAGTCGTTATTGAAGAATTCGTTTACTTGAATGAAGAATTCGTTTACTGATTTTTCTGAGTGCATCGGGCGCAACGCTGACTGAATTCTTGGCTTCCAGCTAGACTCGAGTTGCGTTCTGGACATTTTAAATGAATTTTGCATAAAAGCCTGTCCGTTTTTCTTTTTGCCCCAACTCATCCAAAAATTCGGAGCCGAGAAAAACTGTGTCGAGGTTCCAAAATTCTCCTATGAGTAGTTTTCAGCGGAAAGGGCCCGTTTCACCAAAAAAGTAACTGAGGCGAAAAATGTAAAAAAACTATTTTTTTGTATGTAATTTATTCATTTTGATTGGAACGGCTGAGCTTTTAGTCAGTCTGTCGTAAAGTATTTGAGAAGTTCATAATTAATTTAAACTGATACACATATCGATTTTCAAAAAGCGCCGAAGCTTTGTTTAATTTTGCTGCAGTCGGTGAACAGTCTGACAAAAAACGTGAGTTACGCCCAGCACTTTCGGAAAGCTTTTGATGCAGATTTCCTACATCCTCAGCAGGGAGTTCAATAGGGAGGACGTAGTGCAAAGGAAAAAAACGTCCATTCAATAAAACCGCCACACCTTCTAAAGAGAACAATACACGAAAAAATAGCCGCTTTAAAAGAACATTGATCGGTGCATATCCCGTATCGAGTTTCCCGAAGGGTTGCGAATAACTGAAGCGGGACATTTTTCTATTGCTCAAAATTTATTCTCATACTATTAAATGAGAGTTGAATGGATGGAATATAACGATAGCATTATAGCAGCAATAACATAAAAACATGTTAAATAATCTGATTCGGATCGATTTCCCATCTACAAGATGGGAAAATAAACCAGCTTCTGCTTGCCTATTCCATAGTCAATTTTATAGTTGATCGGATAAAGTCCAGGTGATTTATGATTTATTAAGTCAGCTGCTCGTTTTGTCCTTTAATCCTAATATTTATATATAGTTCTGTTACGTTTATCTTAAGCCAAAAATGGATCCTATACAGGGTGTTAGTTACATTAATGAACCAAAGGAGATTTTCCAGGTGAAACGTTTAAATACTTGAATTCAGGTTGAATTAAGCACACATTTTCAAGTCCAGTTTAAACAGATTTTTGTCAAACAACAAAATATCAAGAATGCTGTCGAATATTGAACATACATAACGATAATTCATGACAAACATTGGAAAATAGGCGTCTACTTAATTTGTGAGATAAAAAGTAAACCTACGTCTTTAAAATTGCTAAAATATATAATTTGTTTTATTATTAATTTCCTACTTAAATTCCTATTTTATTCCAGAATTTTTAAATCATAGTAAATTTTGAAAGCAATAACTTCGTAGGATTTGAATACAATAGTTAATTTTTTGCTCAACACCCCACATAAAAATTTCGCAGCTTATAATTGAACAACCAGGAGAAAATTAGGTTTGTTTAAATAATTCTTTGAGATTAAGCAATTTGATGCGTATTTTTTTATAATAAAATGATTGTCTGCATTGATGAGAACGAGCGATGTTTGAAAAAAAATATTTCGAAGTGTTTATATCACTCGAGCATCTACAAATTTATTTACACACTAGGAAGATGGCTGGTTGGTTTTAACTCTCTCTGTATAAATAAATAATGCATTGTAACGCATTATTCTTGTCCAACTGGCAACACACATCATTGTTCCAAGAGAAGTCGAGGAACGATTGTTCATACTCTGCAATAAATGCATATTTCATGATTGAGCTCGACCTCGGACCAAATCAACTCTTTTCTATATAAGCTTAGACATTTTCAGTGTCTGGTGTTTAAGCTCCAAGTAAATTCTTAAGTGTTTTACATTTACCAACAGTAGATTTGCACTTGCTGTCGTCGCTCTAACTCGATATCGCAGATGGAAGATTGTCTATTTTGCCTAAAAACCTAGCCCTAAGGCTTGTAATTGTCTCTTTCATCGCGATTATGCACAGGCCAGGGATTTCCAAAGTTGTCGATTATTCGAACTACATGGTTTTTCGTGTACCAGTGTATTTTTGTGGTAATTTATGAAAAGAACTGAATACCAAATCTAAGCGTAATTGCGTTCCTTTCCGCCTTTTCATGAATAAAACATGGTGTCAAATACCCTCAACCGTTCGTACTTTTGATGCATAAGTACAATTAAACGATTGAATTGAACTCTATAAAATATATTTTTTTATACTGAAGTTGATTATTTCTGATTATGTTGTCGAACAGTGATAGCAAACGAAATATAAACTTTGTCTTGATAGTTTCACTGTATATTTTAGGTAAGTTTCTTTTTTTTCTCGTTAATCTGGCGTTCAATTATTGTTTTTAGGGTTGAGTAACTGCCAAAATTTGAGAGGTTTTAATTGCGCCATAGCGGCGCTGTGTGAAGATAATATTATTGATCCTAGAGTAGGAAATGTTAGGGTGAGTTACCAGTAAACTGGTGTTCTGGTTTACAAATATTCTCTAGAAATGCGATTATACACGTTTTTTGCAGCAACACGTTGATATTTGAGGCAAAGTAAATTTAAAGTTTCTACTTAGAATCGTGTTTATTATTCAAATTTTGTAAATGGGGAGTCCAATGCTCTAATCAGTCCCCACTGTATTACACTTTTTGCTATTAACGGTTGAAAACTGTAGTTACTTTTTTATTGGAAATGTTTACAAGTGCAGCTACTGTAAAAACCAGAGCCAGACTCCCAATAAGTTTTCGCGATATTGCGTGATTCAAAAAATAAGTGGCACATTTTTTAATTTTCTCTAAAAAATCGTCAACGTTTATCGAAAAATGTAACATAAACTCTCTCCAAGATCAAGTAGAATGGGGCTTTGTGTGTAAAAAAGCGGCAAAAGCTGCGATTGATTCCTGCTAATTTCGGAGGAATTAACCGTTCAAAATAGCGTTGCTACAGAGCAAGAGTTAGAAGCGCACTTTTGCATTTTAGTTTAAAAAATTGTTAAAGTTCACACAAAAATTGCACAAAACTTTTATTGTCAAGTCAAGAGGAGTTGTAGGTTTTAGGAGTCGGTGGAATCATTTTTCTGGTCCAGCTACTTTTGGAGTAATGAAGATTTGAAAATATGCTTGCAACGTTGCGAACCTCGGAAGGGCATTTTTGACTCACTTTTAAAACATTGTCAAGCTTCATGCCGAACGTGCACAAAAGTTGCACTTTCAAACAAATTACGAGCGAACTTCCCTTATTTAAAACCGGTAAAATCAGCCTTTTCTTTCTACTAGTTCAGGAGTAATTAGGATTTGAAAGTGGGCATGCGACATTGCGAGAGTTGGACGCTCATTTTTAACATTTCTTTTAAACAATCTTCTAAGCAAATGGCAATACGCCACAAAAGTTGCGCGTTTTTTCCGTATCAAAAATTGGTAAATTCAGACCTTTACGGTTGTCAGTTTCACAGCACTGAAGATTTGAAAAAACTTTGCGCCATTGACAAACGGAGTGGAGCATTTTTTATGTTTCTTTTAAAAAATTTGGTACAAAAAATTGTGCGTAAAAATCGGCAAGTCAAGTATTTGCTTCCTGCTGGTTTTCGAGTATTTACTCGTTCAAAATAGCGTTGCAACAGTACAAGAGTTTGAAGCGCATTTTTGCCTTTCCGTTTAAAAATTCTTGAAAGTTCAGACGAAAATCGCACAAAATTTGTATTTTGAATAAATTTGAAAATAGGATTGTAGGTACGGTTGTACTATCGGTGAAATCATCATTAAACTTGTCCTAAGCGCTTAGCCGGATTTTGCATTTTTTAAAGGCCTTTGAACTTTGTATTGCCGCTGTGCAGACTTGGTTTTAAAAATTTTCCATTCTGAAGCAGTGGATTTCGTTTCCAAATTTGGAGCAAATGAGGCTCTATATCTGAGGAAGGTTTGAATTTTCTCAGAGTATCGAGCGGAAGGTGTTAAGTTTTTTAAAACGGCGATTGTGGTTTTCTATAAATACTGTGCGAGTGCTGCCTAGGTGCTAATATAAAAATTCGTGATTTGACCCTCAAAGCATTTAGAGAGCTAAATTTGTTCATAGAATTAGAGCAACCATCGCTCTATATCTAAGATATAAGATTAGTCATTTAGTTCCTAGACAAAATGGATGGCTGATTTTTTCCTGGGTTTTTAGCAGAAATTTGAGCTAAATTTTCCAATAAAAAAAACACGTTTGACCTCTCAATTGCCGCTGTGCCGGCTTGATTTCAAAATTTCCGCATTTGGTTCCTAGAGCAGATAGAGGACTAATTATATTTTAAAAATATCGCCCAAGTGAGACGCTCTATCTCAGGAAAATTTGGATTTTCTTTGAAGGATTATGTGATTTTTTTGAAATTAAGCTTTTGGCTCTTGCAGGTGCTCTATAGACGCTGTTTTGAAATTTTGACATTTTACGTTAAATAACTTAGACGGTTGAGTTGGTTTACAGATATAGAGCGATATTTGCTCTATATCTAAAACTTTGGTGTTTTTCTAAAGCATAACCAAAAGCATAAACGGTATTTTTTTAGCTGTTTATTGCCGCTGTGCAGGTGAAGCTTCCCAAACTCATCGTTTAGCTCCTAAGTTAAGAAGAAGACTTTTTCCAGACTCTTGGTCTAACGAGAAGGTTGATTTTTTGTGTAGATTTAGAGCAACCCTCGGTCTATATCTGGAGTGAGTTTGAGTTTTGGGGATTTGAGCAGATTTTGAAAATTTTTTAAAGACATTCAAACGGTTTATTGCAGCTGTGCAGGTTTGGTTTGGGTGTGAAAATATCTCCGATTGGTTGCTAAATTTTGTATCTTCTCCTGAATGTGGAGCAAATGGGGCTGTCAATCTCAGACAAGTTTGGATTTTTTTAAGGTCTAGAACAGGATTTGTGAATTTTTCGAAAACGTCGCTTTTGCTGCCTACAGGTGCTGTGCAAGGGCTCTGTTTTTAAAATTGGTAATTATCCATTCAGAGCTCCTAGAGGGTTGAATTTACTTACGCATTTAGAGCAAAGATCGCTCTATGTCAGGGATAAATTTGGATTTTTGCAAAGTCATAAGCAGACTTGGAACGTAGAAAAAATCGCCTACTTTTGGCTCTTTATTGGCGTGCTGCAAGCTTTGCTTAAAAAATTAGCTATTTTACTCTATTTTACTCCTGGGGCACTCAGACGGTTCCACTTTTTCCTGGATATAGAGCAAACGCGGCTCTGGATCGCGGCAAAAAACGCTAATAATTGCGTAGTTTTGTATCGTTGCTTTGCCCGATTCTGTACATTTCCTTGCTCATTAACATCCAATTCCTCTTCGTAAATTGCATGCTCTCGAATCTAGGCTCAAACCAATATAGTGACACCATTAGCTGACGATGAATGTCCAACTGGAACTGCCCGCTGCCAGGCGGTAAGATGTGGTGTTCCCATAGCGGTAGTTAGTAGTGAGTCCAATCAAGCCAACGCAAATTCGCACCCTTGGGAAGCCTACTTACGAGATGATGTGCGCAACACTTATGTGGGCGCTGGGGTGCTAATCGACCAGTACCATGTGCTGACTGCAGCCCACAAAATTTCCAATTTGTAAGTCCACTCAGTTTCCATTCAATTGGACGTTGCGCTAACAGACGAATTGATAGAACGGGATCGGATGCCAGCATGAGCGTTCTAATGGGGGTTTACAATCCCAGAACGATCCCACAAGCCCCCGTGCAAGTCTCTAAAGTGCTCCGAGCTTTCAAGCATAGCTCGTATGATCAGAGTTCTTTAAAAAATGATGTAGCGCTTTTAAGACTCGCTACGCCCATCACCATGAGCAACAGCGCAATGCCACTGTGTCTTCCTAGAGCTTCAACTAACTTCATCACTACTCCGTACGTCTTCCCTAAGGACGTGCTGTTAAACAGTGAAGGATCGATGGTTTCTTTTAGGCCAACTACTTGCTTGGTTGCAGGCTGGGGCCAAACCGCTTTCAATGTCAATGATGCTCCGACCAATATTTTAAAGCAGGTTTACCTGCCAATTGTTTCACAACAAACGTGCAAAACCGCATTTGAAAGTCTGCCGCAGGGTAGTCAAATTGTGAGCAACTACCTGGACGTGGATAGCGGAAATCAATTGTGCGCTGGTGGGCAGGTGCAACTGGATTCATGCACTGTAAGTGCCTCAGTCAAAGCAGCTTTTTTTACTTGCAAGATTGTGCGATTTCAGCAAGATGGAGGAAGCCCTTTAATATGCAAAAACGCGAACTCAAATGTGTACACTTTGGCCGGGCTGGTGCTTTGGGGAAAAGGCTGCGGTGAAGTGAACAGATACGGAGTTTATCTAAACGTTCCATCGTATATCGCTTGGATTCATACTGTGGCCAATTGTTCTATGCGAGGCACCGGTTCATGTAGCGGAGCCACCACCCAAAATTTCAACTAGCATTAATTTGCACAATATAACCTTCTTCTACATTGTCGTTTTGATTAATTTCCTTCCCACTACCTGCTCGAGCAAACTCTATTCTAATGAACAAAATGTAAAATTGCCGGACCAGAAAACCATCATGCCATGGAACCCGAATTGATCACACCAACGCGATAAAGCTAATTAAAAAAAAAGAACGTGTTATTACGTCTAATTTTGCGACAGGACATTTACACCGAAATGACTTAATGTCCGAACACTGCTCATTATTAAGTGGCATTTCACTTTCAATGCATCCAAGTCTCTACTATACAAAGCGAGGATCAGATAAGACCAAAAAACCTAAATATATAGAGGATACACCATTTTGTTAATAGCTTTTCATCAGTGTCCTAAAATACCGGATGATTTCCAGTCGATGGAAGATCATTTTTCTTCTCAGTAAATTTGCAATAGCTTTTAGCGCCAAGTGGTTGCTTACACACCAGGAAACGCGTCCCAGTTTTCTGTTCCCGTAAGCACATTAGGCTGGATCTTAATTGTTTCTATAGGCTCTAAAAACTGTGCGCTGCAGGAATTTGTTTTTCTATAGAAAAACGTGCTAATTTGTTTATCCTTCTAAAAACAAGCAATTTTTCCGTACGTATTTTGGGCTGCTGAACCGAATGGTACCATCAGGCTTTCTCTGAGTGTCGGCAAAAAATTACAAAAAAATCATCTGAAAATGAGTCAAAAAGGTCAATAAATTGGTCTGAACGACTATAATCAATTTTGTTTTAAATTATCTATTTTTTTATGTGTTGAGCTGCTGAATCCCGGGTGCGCTTATTTTTCGTCTACGTACTTCCTATTTAAACGAACATTTTGAACGATTTTTCATATTCAACTGTATTTCCCCATTTAGAAGCCATTTCCTGCTACGTCCAGGGCTTGTCCAAAATCACAACCGATTTGTGACAACCCGACTGGGTCTTTTTGTTGGTTTCTTCCTCACTCGATTTTTCATGTTGATGATCTTTGATACAATTTTTTAAAAGAATAGTTGCACTGTCCACTTTTGTCATGTTCTGCGATATTTAAGTTCACTGTCTGCTTTTTTTGAGTTTCTAAAATTGCATTAATTGTTAAGCACCAACGTGGATTGTCAGGAAGATTTTTCTTCAGTTCGTCAGTCAGTTTGTTCGATTTTCGTTAAAATCTTCTGCAATTTCGGCTTGGAAACGCATCAGTTTTGGTAATTTTTCATCTCGAAAGCGTGTGTTATGTACGTTTGCTTTATGATTTTTAGAACGGTTTTTGGTTCATATTGCACTGCACAAACTGGCGTTTTTGTAAATCACAAAAAGGCTTCTTCATTATCAAAGCTTTGTTTCTGTCATATTCAACTGTATTTTTCCCCATTTAGAAGACATTTCTTGCTCTGAATCACTACAGACTTACACTCAATTGGTTTTTCCATGTTATACTTTGAATTAGTAATTTTTTAATATTAATTAGATTTCTATTTGTCAGCATATTTGGCATCTTAAAGGTTTATTAACTTTTTGTTGTTCTATTTTTTCTTACGGGGATTTTCAGGAAGATTTTTCCTCGAACGTAAATGAACAGTTCGTTTCGTTCGCTTCTCATTCGAATTTTCTTGATTTTGTCCTGGAAACGAAGTGATTTTGATCCGATCAGAAATACAGTTGATTCAATTTGATTATTTGTTAAGTTTGGGTTAATTATGATTAATCTCTGTAATTCTGGTGTAGATCTTGCAGGACTTACCTGATATCAATTTGTCCCATTTAATCACTTTATTTTCAATTTATTTACTCTGCATTATTGTGGTTTTGTCGTAGTTATTTGCTATTTAAGGCGTCATTTTTATCAGAACTTTGCGAAATATCTCATAAAGAAGAGACTGAGAGCTCCTAATCGTCGAATTCTTTATGCAAAGTGTGCAACCGAACAGTTTCGCGTCGATAATGAATTTTTTTCAAACATCAGTAAAATTAATTCGTTTTTCACATTTTACACGATTCAGTTCATTGCTTGGCGTCCAATTACTTTTTCATTTGCTGAAGAAAATTAGCCATAGCTGCTTGTTATGCCGCTCACAGGTGGCATGAAAATAATCCATTAATCGATTAGAATTTGGTTGCAAAACCTGACTTAGACCCAGGTAATCATCATACAATAAAATAGATATAAATTTTCGAAACAAAATAATTGCTTTTCATCAGATGAAAAAAAGCAAGTTTTTGTTTTTACAATAATAGTTTAAAGTTTTTACAATAATAATTTAATAAAACATCCAAGGAGTGCTAATATAGATCAGATTCCTCGAGTGTCATCGCCTTAACAACGTTAACGGGATCTTCACTTCCTATTGGTTCTTATCCATGTTTTATTTAAATTACAGTTACACAACAATGATGGTGATAATTTGCCCGGTTATTTTATGTATTTGGCATTGAGTTTTTCAATCGTCAGTTTCACCCATTTGCTGTAATATGGTACATTCACGTATACGCCAAACACTCCCGGTTGGCCACAGTTTTTTCCCCAAATCACCAAACCTGCAACTACCAGTTTTCCCGTAGAATCCGGGCATATTAATGGAGAGCCGCCGTCTTGCTAGAAGAAACACCGCATGTTTGCGAAATTAGTTGGCCCAACTGATATTAAGGCCTTATTTTTCAAAGAATCGTGCCGACAAATTTTATTCAGATTTTTCCTGCAAGTGGGCGCCCAATTGAAAACATTGGCTTCATCTAAAGGGGCTCACGCTTTCTTATACGCGAATTCATTGTTCTGGCGCTTACCGAACACGCATCTTTGTTGGCTTCTCCACCAGCACAGATTTCTCCTTCTTGGTCGAGATAATAATCTACAAGGTTCCCCAAAAGCGTGGGCCTGGCAAATGATCTTTGACAACTTTCTGGATCGGTTATCGTGACTCTTACTTGCTTTTGAGGGCTGGTGGGGGCATCAAACGTTTGGAAGGCTGATTGGCCCCATCCTGAGACCATGCAACTGAAGGGATTGAACATCGTTTTTGGCTTTTGGGGTTCTGATCAAAGTGATACCTTGTTCCAGCGAACGTTGTTTCTGGTTCCGGCAGGCAAATTGTGTTAATGTTGTCTTGCACGCCTAACGCTATTGGGTGTTCTAGTCTAAGGATGGCGATGTCGTTCATTAAAGTGTCGTTGTCAAATGAAATATTTTTTATCACTTCTTTGACTTGGGAATATTGGGTGTCGCTGAGGTTAGTAGGATCCCATACTCCCAAGTAGACTGTTATGTCTGCAGGATTTTCTCTATAAAGTTTTGCGGTTTACATGAATACCTTTGGAACAACAAGCCCGATTACCGATTACCCTCCACTTTGTGAGCGATTGTCAGCACATGAAATGCATCCAGTAAGACTCCGCTGCCCGAGAAATTTGAGGTCAGATTCCTCATGTACACCTGCCATGGATGGGCGCCTCTATCTGCTTCTCCGTCCTCAAGGTTTATTGAGTCGACAAATCTTTCCCCACATTCCTTTTCAGTTGCATAGCAGGGCAAGTAGCCGGGTGAGCAGAAATCATTCTGAAATATACTTCTCGGGTAGAAAGGAAAACTACTAGTTCATATGTTGTGTTACCGGAAGAATTATTCTGGGATCAATGGAAGCTTTCCCTTCCAGTCCTGCAACAGTGGGACAAGGACTACCGATGGCTACACATTTGTAGATTTTCCCAGCCGGTGTAATTCCTGTAGTTGTTGTGGAAGTTGCTTACCAAATACGACAAAAACATGTTAAAGAGGACGCTGGTGTATTTTCACGTGTAGGCTTACCCAGGAAAAACCTAGCGGTTATTAGAATTAGAATGCTCTTCGGCATCTTATTTACTTCAACCAACTACAAAAATATTTCAGATGTGCCCCGGATGATATTGAAAAACATCTACTTATTTATAATGATGCTGATTTTAATGGACTTTTCCGGAAATGCATGCCTTGCACAATTACGCGTATACAGCGCGTGCACTAAAGTATACAAAGCGTGCACTAAAATCCAGCCAAAACAACATTCAGACACAATATTAATTTTTCTTTTTCCCGTACAAGCTGTTAATCACTTTGCTTCTGAAAATATATCTTGTTTTTTTTTGACTCTTTGTTTGAATTTCTGATACTTTTGCCTTTAGGCGCGATATAATTTTTCGCAGTGGGTTTAAGTTTGCTGTTCTGAAGAAGATGTCGTCCGCGAGACTAATCGAACATGGACATTTCGCTCCTGTTTAGTTTCTCGAAGACACCTTTCGAATCTGGCGTGAAAGTTTAGGTAAATTCCACCCTGTTTGCAGCTCTTCTAATATTGGATTTTTCGCGTTTTCGTGGAGTTGGATGCAAAATTTTCATAAATAAGAAGTTGAAATGTTGAGTATTCGGCTTGTTCAGAAGGAGTCACAAACTTATGTGATTTTCGTTTTGTCTACTTTTGGTGCAGTCTGTTCATTTTACCATGATTTCGCTATTTTCTATTCATCAAGATATTTATTTTTCAGTTCATTCATCATATTCTTTGTTTCTTCGTTTTTCTTTCGACTTTTCGCGTTATTTAGCTGCAAAGGCGACACTCGGGCAAAATCAAACCTCGTTAGGCCCTGTTTTGGGTGAACCGAGCTTTTGATCTTTTACCAGTTTTCAAACAACCAAGTTCTGTACTTTTTCTTCAGTTTCTTTTACTGGAAACCATTTTATCAGTGGACGTTTGAGTTAGGCTTAGGTAACGCAGTGAAATGTCTTCAAATTTCAGAATTTTTCAGTTTTAGTCAAGTTAATCTTTCATCTAAATGCTCAATTTTCTAAGGTTTCTTAAAAAATGCTGACAATCTTAAGATATTTTCCGCGAAAAATTATGAAATAAATTTCGATTCCCTCTTCGCTTTGTAAAAAGTTTTGAAATCCCTTTCCAGCATCGAATTTGGAACAAATATCAAACAATTTTCTATCAAAAATCGAACAGATTAAGCGAAAGTTTATAACATATTATTTCGAAACCTCGTCACCTCCATTCCTCTGAAGACTGTAGAATTTGTTAAAAATTTATTTTTTAGTTTTGACTAAATTTTTTAAGCGCTCTATTTTGTAGTTTCACTTAAAAATACTGACGATCTGGAGGATTTTTACGCGAGAAATTACAGGATAAATCTATAGATTTGTAAAAAATTTACAAAAACTTTTTTCAGTGTCGAATTCGGGACAAAAACGAAAATAAATTCCTACCGTTTTTTCCCGAAAACCATTAAGGTTTTATCCAAAACCGATCACAAAACTAAAAGTTTTTAATCGAAAACGCAAAAAAGCATTATTTTCCGATGATTTTCTTCTTTTTTGACAATAATAGGGTTCTTTCAGTTGAAAATAATAAAATTAATTTTGCTATAAAATTCGCCAAATTCAACTTTTTGCAGGGAACTATAGAAAACCTTTTTCAGCTTCGAATTTGGCACAAAAACCAAATAATTTTACTCGTTTTTTTACCGAACGTAATTACGACTATCTTAAAAAAACGACCAGAGCAAAAGTTTAGAAAAAAATATTGGGAAAATTCGACGCCTTCATCGCTCTGGAGACTTCTAAAGTTCCTTTAAATTTTCAGGTTATTCCAGTTTTAACAAAGTTTTTTTAAGCAATTCTTTCTACCCAAAAATCGCATTATTTTTACTTAAAATACTGGCCATCTTCAGGTATTTTCTGTGAAAAATTATAAGATACATTTTATTGGAACACTGGCCTCCTTAACCGCTTTGCAAAAAGCTTTGGAAAACTTTTTGCAGCTTCGAATTATGGACAAAACCCTAATAATTATTTCTAGGTTTTTTCCAAAAATATTTTCCCGAACTGAAAAAGCGTGTATAATCATTTATTTGGAGAACTCTTGAAAGCTAGAGTTTCTTCACTTTTAGGTCATAATTTCTGAACAACACTGTCTCTAAACAGAAAAACCGCGTTTTTGCTAACGTTTTACGGTAAGATACTGGCAAAGTGAATCTTTCATGCAAAAAAATGAAGAGATTTATTTTACAAGAAAACTCGTCGACTTTCTTTGGACTGTCTGTTGCTTGGAAAATTTAGATTACTTTTTTTCAGGTGTTTGAACAAAGTAGTAAAACGTTACTTAGAAAAAATGTTAATGACGGTTTTTGAGATGTGAAAATTCCAGTCTCGGGTAGCGTAAAGCTTTAACAAATGAATTATAACTCGTTATCTCAGACAGCGGCAACAGCTCAATAGCGCAACTAAACACAGTGTTACAGGCCTAGTTCGAGTTAAGTTAAATTTTAATAAATAAACTCAGATGGACTTTTAACTGTTCTTCAAAGTCCTTAGTTCTCGATTATTGCTATTTTTCTGACTCAATTTGTTCTTTCAACTTGAACATTGATAACCACTTTTGCGCAAACCCATCTGTGATCACTTTTAGTGGAAAAGCTGGGACTTGGGACTTGTGTTTGTTTAAATAATCAGCTTCGTTCTTTGATCCATCTTCACTTGGCAAGTTTATTTATATTGAGGTTTTGTTCTCTCTTGGTAAACGATTTCTTGATCGTTACTAAAATTTCTGAGTCGCCCACTGAATATTTTCGGAGCGGCAATAAATGCAGTGAAGATGGACATGATGATGGCAGACATTCCAAAGGCGAAGAAGGTAAACTCCCCACGTTGAAAAAATTGGTTCCAATTTTTTCCTGTTTCTTATCAATTTACTCGGCAGGAGGGGCAGTTAAGCCCAAACATTTTTTTTGAGTTATATTATATACGAAATATGATTTCTTCGAAGCAAGCAAATGTAAACGATGTAAGCAAATCTATCGGATTAATCCGATTGTAGAATTCCAGCCTCTTGTGATGACTTTCGAGATCTAATCGCGTGCATTTCTCTTCAATTTTCTTTGCCCGCCTTGTGAATATTTAAATGTATCTATTGTGGCCTAGCCGAAAGTTGACCTTAACGTCTCAAGGTCCATTGAGGATAATCAGAGCTCTGCACAAAAATTGTCTTGTCAAGGTTCTTCGTCGGGATAGGCCGGTACACGATTAGGGCGGCCCGTGAAAATATTTACAATCGTCGGTCACTGTAATCAAGCCCCTTGATTAATGATGTCTGATCATGTTTCATTGACTTGGATCGCACTAGCAACGGATGTAGGTATGTTTCCATCAGTCCCAGCCTATTATTATCATAAATAATAATGCTAGTGAAATTATTTTGTGTATATTGTAGATAGTAGAAAGCATTACTAGCTCTAGCCATCGAACATTTGCAATGATCACTGCCCATTTGCACTTGCTCCGCATTGCAGGCTCACTCAATAAGGATTTATCGTTTTCTATTAGCAGGGCGACTTTGGCGTTTCCGGAAGTTGAATCAAATTAAATACCACCCAACAAGACCTTTTTCAGTTGCTTCAGTTGGGTACTTTTTCTGGTCTGTTCAAGATTATTTTAGCATACTTTTTAAAGGCCGATCACATGCCTTGAAGAAAGAAAATGTTACACCGAAATGACCAAAGCCATCTCAACCATAAAAAGTTTTTCTGTTTTAGACCGTACGGCACTGCTAACGGATTTTACTTTCTTAGCTGGCTAATCAAATTTAAACACAATAGAAGTCGGGTCAGTTTTTTTTAGACAGCGGTGTTGAATTGATGAATGATTGAGTTAGTGTCGTATTTAAAAACGGAAAATACTTCCAACCCTTTTTTATATACAGTTGGTACCGTGAAATATTGGAAATGACTCTCAAAAATTGGCTTTACCAAGATCGAGCATTAAATGGTTAAATTGATTACCAGATACGGTTTAGTGATTTTATTTATATTTTTGTGTAGGTTACAAAAATTTCTCAGATATTATTTTTTGATTAAGGCATTTGTTCTAACATTGATAGGACAACCTAAATGTACCGGAAGGAACAAGCAGGAATCCTTATTAGTTGCTGAATAATCCCCACATTTTTCACGTCGCTTGTTTATTCAGGGCTCAGAAAGCTAATAGGAAACTCAATTATAATGGTGCGTCGAGCCTGAGCCGCGGCAAAGAAATATCTATAATAAGTACTTTCCTGCGGATCAGGCTCGGCGCGTTACGTCTGGACGCGGCATTAGACGTGCAATTTTTATTTGTTTACACGAAAATGATGAGTTGTACAAAAAACTCGAGAGAGTTTTGAATATTGAATGATATGTCGGTGCTCGTGGGTCAAAAAAATGGCCACTTCAATCTGCAAAATTGGATTAAAACATCTCAAGTGGTTTGGAAGATATTAAAACATTGTTATGCTTTTGAATCAAACTTTACATCCTATATTTTCGAGTTGAAGCCTTTAAGTTGGTTTATTAGAACGAAAACGAAAGTTTTTTCAAGAGTTCGAGATCAAGGAAAATATGCGCATTAATGTTCGTTTTCATCAAATTTATGACGGTCTTAATGGTTAACAAATATTCCTTGTATTCATATAGTATAATTTCCGTACAATAAATAGATTTGACCGCAAAATCGTTTTTTTTTCTACTGCTGCTGTGTTACATTTTTCTATATGAGTTAATTAGTATGTGGGAGTTCATTTGAGATAAAGTCGCTTTTTGGGTCACTAGCTAAAATTGATTTTGGACGACCCAGTTTTAGTCAGATAACGGTGAATGTTCTGAAAGCTTTTAGAGCTTTTGCTGGAAAAGCCATATAATCCCCGCGTTATCCCGTTAATCTTGGTTTACTAACCATTCGTGCTTTATCCGGACATCCAAAAGAAAGAAGTGTGCGTGGTAATTATTAAATTTGGTCATATTTTTGTGAAATTTTATACTGTTCATGTGAAAGGAACAAATTTGTCTATACCTATGTTTTAACGGTGTAATAAAATCTTCTCGTCCAACCGATCAAATGAAT